AATGATCAGAGGAGATTTACATCGTTACTTAAGTATACTAGACAGTATTTGATAGATTAGTTTTTTTTTGTGTAAAAAGCCAAAATCAAATAGATAAGAGTTTGCAAAACCGATAAACATATGGATCTAGGGTTAATGAATAGACTTTAGTTATTCTATAATCTGGTGAAAGCAAAAATAGTGGGTCTTAGATACTAAAAAGACTCCCGATTCAAAAACTACTGGATTAAGTGCAAAAGCCAAAGGTAGGCTAAGAGATATACGACAGTCTCTAATAGACTCCGTACTCTGAGAAGAGAGGATAATAAAGTTCTCACCAAATTTCTGACAGGGGTATAAATGCTGAGGTACTATCTCAACCAATTGGGGATCTTAAACTTGAGTTAGCACAATAAATTATCTGAGTCATAAAGTACCCTCTACTGAGTCAATAATAATAGTCATTGTAAAGAGAAGGATATAGTAGGGCACTTTTTGTAACCCTAGTTTTCAATTTAAAATTAACTTTAGTACTCTTTTTAAAAAAGTCACTTAATAAATTGGTACATAAAGAAAAAGTAAGTAATAAGGTAATTGTAACATAATTACTTTGTGAGAAATTAAAGTTTCTAGAATAGTCAAAAACATGCTTAACATAAAATATCTGACATACCTAAAACTATTCTGACTTCTACTAACAATAAAACTGAAACAGAATTTTAATATTTATTAGCAAAAGATCTAATATAAAAGGACCCAAAGTGGGAAACTCAATGGCACAGTAGACACTGTCAATTTTAGTAGGCATTGATTTTACGCCTAATTTTGTAGATAAGTTAGACGCGATAGCAAATACGATAACCATAACACTTAACAAAATATTACTTTGTGACTAAATAAGTTATCCTGATAACAATGTATGTAACAGATAAAACTATTGTATTAGAATAGATTTTATTTTAGTTTTTCAGATGACAATTGTGGGTTATCGCGCCATTCTTCGAAATTAATTCAGTTCTTTATGCGATTATTTCACAAAACGAAATCATTTTCGTTTCCATTCGAATCCTTTTAATTTTTAAATAGTGTACTTTCTTTTCGACATAAGATGCGTCACTTTCGGCAAGAAAAAATTAGCATTAAAATATTAGAATTATAGGATATATGAGCAATTCTATTGTCCTAAACGCGATTATCGAAATTGTAGAGTAACATTTACATAGCTTCTTTGTAAAATTGCACCCGAAAAAAGGCGCTTTACATGAAGTAAGTAAAAATATGCATAACAGATGTCTCTGCGAAAAGAATAGCTTTGAAATAAAAATAGACTACCTCTAAAATTAACTTTTAATATGATAAACTTAAAGCTGTAGTTTATAAGTTCATTCTAATTTTAATCATATTAAGTGCTTTGATTAGTGTCACTTGAAAAAAATAATAATAAGTGACAGAAAATTTGGAACTTAAGTATTGAAAGTTTGTGTAGCCTTGGCTATTAGTGGAAGAACCGATTAGTTATCGCTTCTAATTTGACAGGCACGAGTTCTAAGCCTGGCACTTGTAGTCTATAAACTAATTAAAAATCGATTATTTCCTAAGACCACTGATGATGAGTACTTGGCAATATTCGAAACAGCGTTGTATGGTCAGCCAAATTTCAATCAATTAACTAAAATTGTTGTTGTTGTTTTTTCATTTTTATTCAAACCCTTCTAACTTTTAAATAGTTTCTTTTCGTCATAAGACTCGTCAATTTCAATGTGAAAAAATTAACATTAGCAAAATCAATTTAGTTTTGAGTTTTGTTGTAAATACTCATTTAGATCATCAATGGTCAATGGATCAGGTCAATGGATCGGCAAATGGCACTGATTCCGTTGACGCTGCATTTCTCTTGGAGTTGATGACATGGATATGTCAAAGAAACTATCTGTTAAAGTGAAAGTTTATTCTAAACCTCAGTGACGAAATTCGTTGCAAATGGAATGCAATGTCTAAAAATTGTACTGCTTTATATGACAGAATACTTAGTTAAAACAACAAAATTAATTGTTTGACAAACAATTTAAAAAAAATATTTTCTATAAGAAGATTGACAAGTGCGAATCTCCATTAAAATGATCATGATGATCATGATGAATTGCAGTTCTTTGTTTCGAAAGGATAGAAAACTGTTTACAAGTTGGTAGTACAGTAGATTCAGGTAATCTAATGTGAAACCTTTTCGATTTCGTTAGGTACACAAATCTGTATTCCTTAACGCTTTGGAATGCATGAATTAAGTTTATTTGAAGTTTAAATGTTTCTATAAGTATAGAATTAAATGTGAATCACTCAAACAGATATAATATAAAAAAATTTTTAGACGTATTATTATTTAGTACTCTTTTTTGCCAGTTATAGCCAACAACAAATCTAACTAGTTTGATATGGTTTAGATTACATGATATCACTCAATTCTTAGCGCAGATCTGAGTACTAGAAGTTAGTATTTTTTTACTATGAGTTCTTGTACTTAAACGTAATTAAATTAAACTTCACACGCAATTAAGTTAAAGCAACACGTCTTGTAGGGCTTGTGGCACCACCAGATAACACGCCCTGATATCACATATCTTCAATTTTATGTCAAAAAAAATGATAGTCATGTGATTGTTACAATCAGAATTGACATACCTTACAGTGATTTGAAAATTCAGTGAAAAACTGGCGAAAACAGAAATCTTGTGATAACATTGATAAAGTAATACTGCAATATCATATATCTATCCAAAATCTTCCAACTTTCATGAATTAAAAGAAATCCAGATGCATTTTCTTTAAAAAACTATTATAATTGATGCCAGTGTGATACTTCAGGAGAAAATAAACTTTTACAAAAGAAAAATGAACCGAAAAGTATCTGCCTAAAATTGGACTAGTTCGATTCAGGGGTCTACACTCTACACTTTCAAAGTGAGAATCATACTAGAACTTTAAGTTTTAACCTGAGTATGAATTTAAATTGGTTATATCCCTACTGCTAGTAAATCTCAAATGAAATTATGAATAGCGGCGGCAATCGAAGTATTTAACTGATAAGTAAAGGTTTGCTTAAAGTAATTTTATGAGAAGTGATTACTGTGCTCCACGATCTCTCATGTTATGACTTATCATAAAAATAATCACCTATGCTAAACAGTATTCGGTATATTTCTGTGAAATTCCAATACACAAAATCGGTAAGATACAGACCAATAAAAACTTAGAGTTGCTAAAGTTACAGTCTGTAACCGATCAAATATACCATATGTACATGAATCCCAGATAAACTTTCTAAACTTGGATAATTCTATAAAAATAGAAATGCAATACTCTACTGTTGATGGAAAAACTGCAGATAAAACAATTATATCTCCAAGACTCCAAAGAGTCAATCTTTTGCAACAAGCATTTGGGTTAAAAGTTTATTATTACAATATCTATAGAATTTATATGGTGTTATTTAAAGAGTCAATAGTTGAAATTTGCAAAAATTATGTGACGATGAAAAATCATAATATAAGGAATATCCTTTTTGTCTTGCACGCATAAATATCTGCGTACTTGACTCGCATATCTAAAAAAAGGTCCTTACAAAAAGTTTGAATGTATGTTTAGAAACACTTCTGAAGATGACTCTGAGACAATAATCGGTGAATTACTTTCTAAATCGGGTGAGTTAACATTTGTAACAAAACAACAACAAGTCGAAGGTACATTCTAAACTAAACAGAACATTTTAGTAATAAAAATATTATAGATTTTTTAACAAACCCAATTTATCTTACTGAATATAGTTTTGACTCAATAGAGAGGCTTGAGCAGGCCTAAAGCGTATCTAATTAAAATTTAAGATTATGAACCGGAACGATCTGCAAAATGTTATATTGGTACGTTCACAAAACGCTTTTTTTATCGAATGCAAATTGATTTTTCTGAAAAGATGAAAGTCATATGGTTTCGAATTAGTTGAGAACTGTTAATAGTTGACTTTACCGATGTCAATAGTTGACTTTTAAATAACAATATTTAGAAAGTTCTGTTCACTTGGGAATACGTTTTGTATATTGGCAGTCATTAATCTGCAAAATGTTGGTTCAAATACATGATGTGACGTTTTTAAAACACTTAAATGCAATTCCAGCGAAGGTTTTAAATACTTTTTACAAATCTAAATTTTTTAACATGTTGCTCATCATTATTGTACACAGGATTCTTTCTAAATGACATATATCACTCATAAGGTCTGCTATGTGATAAACAAACATCACCCTAGGTTTAGTTGGGGAGTGCCCGGCACTGATGCACAAGCGGAAGAAACATCTAGGAGGGTATATCATGGATCATAAAGATTCAAGACTAAGAATGGTAGGCTCTATACTGTTTTTTATTAAAGAAATAATTTATTGATAGAAGCACAAGTTTTACAATTTTTAAAACAAACCTAAGTATTACCTCTTCTTCAAAGTCTATTTTTTCACTGATATCATGAATAAATATGTCATTACTTCCGATACAATAACCCTATTAAATACTTTTGGCAGTATTTGAGTGTAATAAAATTTTAAGTTATTGATTCAATAAAAACATCTGTTTTTATAAAGTGGTTCTTACTTTGGATCAATTTTATAGTTTAATGAAAGCCGTTAGACAACCGGTTAATTTTTATAACTAGAAAGTAAAGCGTAAGGTAATACCACTTGATTCTTCACACATTGATAATTTAATTACTGGTGTCATCGTGTATTTAATGACTAATTTAGTGATAACACTATTTTTGGGATATATTTTAGTGATATAGTGATATTTTAGCGGAACGTTTTTGCTTGGTGGTTTTAACTATTTGTTTTAAAAATTAATTTGATAAACTGTAGAAGGTCTAAATTTTCTAAACGTCCAAATGCTTAGGTCTGAGATATAAAAGCAACAACATTGACTTAAATCAACAATCACTTTGAAATCCACAACATTAAATAAAAACAAAACCCTTAGTTATTTACCTTCATCCATCGTTGTTAAAGAGTCCAAATGGATATTACCGTTTCCAAAAATATTGCCTTCGGATAAAATCCATTCTTTTGATTTCAGTGATTTTAAATTTAAACGCTTGTGGATTGATGAATCTGTAGTTGACAAAGGTTTGTTATCTATTTTTGGAGAATTGCTATTATTTGAAACCCTACAAGCTTTGACGTTGTCTAATTTGTTTGCATTAGAGAGGTCTTTATTATCGCCACAATTTTTTTTGAGGCGCTTCTTTGAAAGCAAATAGGAATTATTTTGTGGTTTCCACTTTTCGGTCACTACTTTCAATTTTGAAAGCCTTTCATTACTCTCACTGTTAACAAATTGATTCTTAAACGATCTTGAAACAAATGTATTTAAGTTATCCATTTTTTGTATATTTCTCTTTTTATATTAACAAAATAAATGTGTTGTGTGTACGCACTCTATTTATTTATCACGTTATATTCACATAGTCGTATTTTAACACTTGAATTGTTAACTTAAACTTAAAAAACACGCGCTAAAACGGTTTTATGGGAGATCAAGGCCTATTTCGAACGAACAATGGGCAACAAAGATTTCGCTGATATGCTTGTTTTTATTTAGTTCTTCGCTGTGCGAACGAAGTGATTTAAGGATAATAAAGCATGATTGCAGTCACCCCCAAACAAAGTAAACCTATTTGCTGTAAGTTCGCGCATGCTGATAAAAATTTACGACGTTTTATTAAAAGGGGAAACAAAAACAATTTTATGCAAACATCAAATTAAATTCCTTAACATTATTAGTCGTAGTTAACACCTCTTAATATTTGCATAAAACCACAACCAAGTTATACGTATATTAATTGAATAAAATGTGAGGGCAGAAATAATTAGAGGAGTGATTTCATTTCAATTTATCATGATGTACTTTGGAAGGTTTTCCGGTTTGCGTCAATTATCTAATTTGGTACTTATAGAGTGTAGAGTAGATGGGAAATCTTCATCAGAATCAACTTAATTGCGTGAAAAATGGTTGTTATGGATTACAAGGCCTTTGCTTAAGAGAGTTAAGCTTGATTAATTGCATCCAGTTCGACTTCCAGGCTTTTAAAATTGTTCTGTCAACGCAAGGGAAAATTTTTGTTAATGCTTTAGTAAAACCTTGGTAATTGCTTTCTTAAAAAACCTTTTCGCATCTGTTATAATTAATATCAAAACTAAGATCTATTTATATGTAACAATTCAACAATTTAAATAAGATATGAGCACGGTATTAATACGTACTGGAAATGTCAAAAGAAAGAGCAACCCTAGAAAATCTTTGAAAAAGGGTACTAATATTTTTAATTTCAGTAAGAGTTCTTGTATAATTGATAATAGTACAAATTAATAAGTAATACGTAATGTTTATAAAATTTAATAAAGCAAAGCATTTTATAAAAAATCAAAATTCAAGAGAGGTTAATGAATTAAACATTTTCTTTTATTTTTTTATTATTTTATTTAAACTTCTTAAAATTCATTAAAAATCATACTTGTAGTACACATTTAGTGTACAAAGTACTCGGAATTATTAATTAAAATAAAAAAACATTATCAATCAAAAAGTAGTTTGCCACCTCCAAAGTACGTCCCATTAAATGCAATATAACAAGCTCTAGAGCTTGACTCAACACTCCCTATAATTCTCATAGGCTCATAGATTCTCATGACGTAAATCTCAATTTCTTTAGGGAATTCATTTTTGAAATGCTTTTCTTGAAGTTTTATTTTAAGGTTCGAAAAACCAAGGATATGATAAAAAGCGATATATGAATATGTGTGTGACATTTTTATACAGAAAATATATGAAATTTTCAAAAAAATCTCATCTTAATATTAATCTTAGCTTGTCTTATGGATGTTCTCATAACTTTTACTCTGAATATATGACAAAAATAGCTGACAAAACTGAACTGACAGAAAAAAAAAACATAAATATGTATGTGATATTTTCATATATGTAGGTGATACGTGAAATTTTCAGGAAAATCTTATCCTAATCTCAATCTTATTTTATCTAATCTTGTGTATGCTCCGATACCTTTTACTCTGAATATATATGACAAAAACAGCTCACAGAATTAAACTGATAGAAAAATATTTTATTTGCAATTAATTAATACCTTAGCGAACGTCTAAAACAAAATAAAGATTCTTAACTTTTGAGAATCACACTATATTATTTATTATTAGTTTTGGTTATGCTTTACTGCTGTAATATTATTTGCAACATTTAAAGTCCCTGATAATTAAATTATAAAGTTTTACCAAATCTTTATAATATATTTTTATAATCTGGAAATATTTAAAACTATAAGTTTATATATATGATATATATATATATATATATAATATATATATATATATATATATATATATATATATATATATATATATACAGTAATCTTATGATGAATATGTTTTAAAGAAACAAAAATTGTTCCAACTAAGGGGAAGGTTATAGCTTGTATTATAGGTAAGTAACTCTTTCAAGAAATAAAATAAAAGCAGAATTTGATTAGAATTTGAATATATAATATTGCAAATAAATTGCTGTACTTAATTGTAATTACGAACTAAACCTCTTTACTCTACCCATGCAAGCTCCCAATACTCTGTGTAATAAGCAAAAATCAAAGTTCAGAAAATGGATCAAACCGATAACCAGCAAAATTGTTAGCTTATAGCATCTAGCAATAAAAACAAAAAAATACACAAAAGAACAATTTTACACAATCAAAATCAAAAACGAGCTATCTATTTCAGGGCATGAAAAATTGACTAAGTTCCATTAAGCTTAAAAATTTCTAATAAAAACGTCTGTATAAACATTTAAAATATCAAAAAGATCGCATTTGTTTTATTATCATAGCTGTTATCTAATTCATAGTATTTACTATTTTGGTTTCATTTGAATTTTATTTATTGAAAGAAAAGGCTTGCCAGGGACTTGAACGTGATTTCTCCATCAAACGAATATTTGAAGAACCCTCCAGAATGCTAGTATTATTTTTCAAAAAGTATAAATAATTGGAATGTCGTTTATGATAAAGATATAAAGTTAAAAAAAAACATTATACTTTTTATGAGTAGGCTAAGATTTAACTCCTTTCATTATATCAGTGAACTATCAAACAAAGTTAGTAAAAAAAATTTTTTTTTAGATTTACTGTAGTCTCGAATTACTCATTTGATTTGATTGCTCATTTGAATCATTTGATTCATTAAATTACTTAAATAACACATTAAGACCATATGCCATACCATATCGTAACTTTTGGTTCCTGTAATAGTTTTTTCTGCAAAAATGTGAGTTTTCACTGCCCCAGACACGAAATTTTATTTATTGGGATATATACTGAATAAAACATATACCTCATTACTGCAGAAAATTTGATGCGAAAAATATTCTATGCATCGCATGGCTGTTAAACGATCGATATCGGTAACTACTTTTAAATGGATCTAAAGTAAATATATGATATTTTGGACGAAAATTCTGTTTGACATATATCATTGATAAAAAGCTGTCAAATCAGAGCCGAAAAATGGATAACTCTAAATGTAGGTATACCAAAAAGTCCGCATTCGCAAATTATAGACTTCAATTCTATAACAGTTATGGTGACTTATACCTTATAGGTTATAAGTAAGAAAGTCCATTTTTTTATTTAATGATATCGATATGTTTTATTCATGCTTTTTGTAGGTTCGTTTAAGGATCATTAAAAAAATCAAGAAAGCTATGCTTAAATTTAGTTTTTAAAATTAATTTTTTTTTCAGTAGTCAAATAATGTAAAAAAAGTACTGTGATAAAACAGTTACAATTTAACATTCTTATATTTTATAGAAAATTTAATTTTATTTTTTAAAAATTGTTTTGTATTCCTACTAAAATTTTATTATATTTAATATAAAATGGATAATAACACACCTCTGGATAATTTTATAAAAGAATATAGTTCCCTCAATCCGCAGTTAGACCGTATAGATGTTTTACAAGGCGCTCTTCAAATCTGGTCAGTTCTAACACAAACCCAGAAGAATCACTACTATGTCGTCCCAAAGGATGCGGAGGTGCCAAATAACGCAGAGGGCACACATCGCAGAGGAAAAAAACGTAAATATTATGAAATGAACTAGGAAATGGTAAGAATCATTACTATATTAATTAGTTTGCACGATTATTTATTTTTAGTTTTGTTTTTAAAATATTCACATATAAACTTTATTACGTTTTTAATAAAGTATGTATATTAACGGACCTATTCTGTGCACTTGACAAATTTATCAAATTCTTTAATAAAATTTTTGACTTTTATAAAGCAGTAAGATTTTTGGTATTCTGGACACATCTTGACAAATTTCAAAGCTCAAGTACCTAATGCTTCTCACCACACTATAGTGTAAAGTGTTTTGAATATAAAACTGTTCGTAATTGTTCGTAACTGTTCGTAATTGTTCGTAAAAAAGAGCATATATTTTAAATTGTCGAAAGCATTTTTCATGCATTCAAATCACAATAAAAAAAATGCTTGTAAGGAGCGTATATTTTAGTTAAGAATATTTGTCATGCATGCAAATAATAAAAAATGCTTAAAAAGAGCATATTTTTATAGTTGTCAACAGCATTTGAGATATTGACAACTAACAAGGAAAAGAGCTTTTTATTTATGTCACAGAATACCGAAACCTTAACAGCAGTCAATTTTGACAAGTGTCAATGTTTGACAATTTTATAAAGTGCACAGAATAGGTCCGTTAGTATATATATAGCGTTCTTCTTCTTGTATTGTGAATTGAAAAATGAATCTTCGAATCCAACATTTCGAAATTAGACACATTCGAATAGCAAAAAAAAAGACATGGACAAGACAAGACCACTGATGATTACTGATGAGTAGTTGGCAATACTCGACACAGCGTTGTATGGTCAGCCAAATTTCAATAAATGAAATAAAATTTTTGTCCTTATCTTTTCTTTGCTATCCGAGCCCGTCGGGTTACTGCCCGTTAAATTAGACCTTACAATAATAACATAAATACTGATTTTTATTTACAGCAATTGCTTGCCATCTCATATATTGTAATCCATATGCCGTCAAGAAAGAACCAGCTCTCTTTTCCATCTTACCAACGGTCTATGAAGATTTACTTGTAGCCTTTGATCCAGACCTGTAAATGTGAATTAGGTTTTCGGCAGCCCGAAGCTCAATTGTTATTCCTTAATTCGTAAGAGATCAATTTAATTGAAATATAAAAATATCATCACAGTTAATATTTCTTGACACAGAGCTGTGAGCTGTATTTTATTTTAAATTGAAGATTTCCTCGTACTGTTTTTCATTGAGACCCTTCATTAGTTATTGAAGCCTAATTAATACAGCTAGAAATATTATTCAAGCTGTTCGAGTATGTCAAATACTTGAATATACCAAGCTACATTAAATGGTGTTCGAGCATGTGCTGTTATACAAATTAAATAATATCAGTCATTCAAAGATTCAAAGTGCTCGATTCATATCTTGGAATCTGTGAATACTCAAGCTGCTCTAACATGGCAATACCAGAACACTTCAAATCACAAGTAAATATATTATTAAAATGGGTTATAAAATGTGAACATTATCTGACTTTAATAATTTGTAATTTGTAATTCATTTTCAATGTTTATATTTATTTTCAGATCAGGGGAATGAAAGGTGCTTATGTTGATGCAAACCACAGAAATCCAATCTATATATTTTACTAATATTGGGATTCTGACACTGGTCTGAAGGGCAAGTCAATTTTGTGATTATTAAAAATATGTTTTTAAATTTAGATGTGAATTTAACTTATTTGAACAATCAGCGAGTTCAGCCCTAGACAAGTTATTTGTATAATTCTTTGATTGCAAACAAAATCCAAATCACTTTTTGAGGAATGAAATTGGTTAGTAATTCTTCATCTATGTTAATATTCTTAATAGTTTTTAAATTAAAACAATGTTATGCTTACTATTCTTTTCTTCTTTCAAGCTCTGTACAACACCTTTCTGAGAGCATATCACATTTTTAACTTTGGATTTAAAGGAGATTGTGGTATATGGGATGGCTAAGGTGCGCAAGTCTATTTTGTTTGGATTTTAAATATATTCTCGCTTATCTTGAAACTGAAATGATGACAATATTACAGCATTCAAATTTATTTCATATTACTTTAACGAAAAAAATAAAAATAAAAATAAAATATTTAATAATTTACTTTTCTTTTATGCAATAGTCTGAATTTCAGTAAAAATTAACAAAAAAAAATGTAAATTAAAATGTAAATTTTTTCTTACCGAAAGCTCTTAACGGATCTATTTAAAAGTTAGAAAGGTTCGAAAGGAAATGGAAAGACAACAACAAATTTAGTTAATTGATTAAAATTTGGCTGACCATATAACGCTGTTTCGAGTATTGGCAAGTACTCATCATCAGTGGTCTTAGGAAATATTGAAGTGTTTAGATTGTAAGTTCCAGGCTTAGAATTCGTGCCAGTCAAACTAGAAGCGACGACTAGTCGTGTTTTACCACAAGTAGCCAAGGCTGCACAAACTTTCAATGCTTAAGTTCCAAGTTTTAAAATGATATGAATGATATATTGTCTTAAAAAGAAAATGTAAAATGATATGATAATTACTCGTACAATTTCCTTTCGTTTTACTTCCTTCCTTTCATACGAAAATGTTATGAACAGGTAATAATGTTTTGAATTATCGATATATTTTTATTTAAAATATAAATATAAAAAAATTGTAAAGACCGTAATTTGCATGTTATTCGACTCCCATTGGCATGGAAATTGTTTTAAAAATAAAAGGGTCTCTTTGAGAGTATTATTTAAGACTATTTTGAGATTGCAAATAATATGAAGAAAATCCTATTAATTATTTTAATTATTATTAAAAAATGGAATAAAAACATTTTACTTATTTTTCAGCCTCTAATCAATAACCAGCATTTTATTCGATTACTTTTAATCTTTACGGGTTAATAATGTGTTTCGAAATTAATTTTTAACTGCCGGTGATTTACAATACTTCGAGTACGCAAACATTAAAAAAAAATAAAATAAGGTAAACTGCAACACTGATCAGTGGTGAATAATTTCAGTTTGTTTTTATATTTATTTTCCTTACGTCAAAGTGAGCACATACCACCTAAGAAGATTATTTCAAATAATTATTAAGTTTATTTCAATAAATATTTCTAGTGCTGAAATGCTTAATTCAAAGATTATATTAACACTTATTTTAACAAAAGTTTTAAAGTTTGATAAATAATATTAAAACTGACTTAATAATGTCTTCTGCCCTAGTGTATATTTTGTTTTTATGGTGCGTGTTATCACAAATAATTTCAATATTAACCTTACCGTCGATAATAAAAATTGGTATGTTTTTTATTATAATATTTATTGTGAAAGTATTAATATTTATAATTAGTTCATTAAATGTATTATTTGTTTAAATAAAAAAGTTATTTCAGTAAAATCGATATGTGTAATGTCATTGCAATTGTAAGACTTCCCTTCAGTGCAGTTAAATGCTAATAACTTCATCATTTTTTTAAATAATTAACAAATCTTTCAAATGCTTTTAACATTATATCCAAGAGGCTTGATGCTATAGACCTTCGAATTCGGTGAATACTATAGAAAATATCAAAGAGTTCAGTTGAGTATAAGAGTTTGGTATGGTTCAAAAAATTTTTTGCATCTTAAAAATACGGTACTATAGAACTGCCATCAAAAAAGCACTACGTTTGTTCAGAGTGGAAATAACACAAGTGTGTCGATGATTACTAGATTACTGCTTTAAAATTATAACTAATAGTACTAAATCGAATTTTTTACATCGATATTCAGTAATAAATTCCTTAATCCGCTACTGCACACCAAACTAAAACCAAAACGGGCTTTAGCTCATTGAAGAGATTTCGGGTAATATACGTCTTTCGAGGGAAAACGAAAATTTTGGCTGGTACGGTTATAGGTTTTATAATATGTACTACTAGTAGTACTATTGTATTTTATAATACATAAAATAGTATAATATAATACATAGTATAGTATATAGAAATATATAGTAGGATATATGTACATACATTAAACTGCAAAACTTTAATATATAATGAATATGCTGAAGAAGAAATAATACAATTACAATTTTTAACTAAACAATATTAAATAAAGTCAGTAAATAGATTATAAATCTATTTAATAGAATATTTAATAGAATTTATTCAATAGATAATAAAATATTAATCTCAATTTTTCCTACCACCTTTTAATAAAATCTAAACTGTAGCACAAACAGATTCATAATTATTTTTTTAAATATTTTGGGTAAAAATCTATTAAAAATTTGATATTAATATCAGATATATAGGTAAAGTTTTATCATATATCATATTCTGTTAAAAAAAAAATTCTGAAACCTAAGATTACTAATTAATAAGGTAATAAGCTCATTTTAATTTAAAGCACGAGTGTGTTTTGAATAGTGTCACCTGAAAAAAAACTAAAAAGTGACAAAAAACTTGGATTTGAGCACTGAAAGTTGATGCACCCTGGGCTACTTGTAAAGAAACACAATTAGTCATCGCTTCTAGTTTGACAGGCACGAGTTCTAAGGCTGGTACTTGCAGTCCAAACAAATTATATACGGACTATAAACTAATTTAAAAAAAATTCGAATGTTTTCTTAGACCACTTATGATGAATACTTGCAACTGTGTTGTATGGTCATCCATATTTCAATAAATTAACTAAAATTGTTGTTGTTGTCTTTTCATTTCTCTCCGAACGCTTCTAATAAGGTATTATATTAGATACATTTTACCAGAAATGAGATTATATTTATAAATATATAATAAATAAAATAATAATAACTGTACGGAACTGTATTGAAACTTAGGCACATCTACAGGCTACGTATTTTCTAGTAACATATAAGTTTCTGTTTTAAGTAGATTTGATATAAAAAATTTATCAATTATAGATTATAGAATAAACAAATAAACAAATTATTAATTATAGATTCCATCTCTGTAATGTTTTACAGAAGGTATGAAAACAAAATCTTACTGTAGTTATTACTTCTTTATTTAATGAAAATAATAGTAATATCTCCTAGGAGAAGAGAAGAGGCAAAATGCAGAGGTAGAGTAGTTAAATCTGGTGAATAGGATGATTATGGTAGCAGTTCTTGCTGTAATTTTCTAATTTCACTAACTGTTTGAGCAATGTTTCAAAACCGTATTTTGTATTTTTGCGACGACTACTAAGTAGTTTTTAATCGTTCTTCCAATGGATCAGCCTCAAGATTTTGAGGATTTAGTTTTGCTATAAATTTTCTATAAAAATTTTTTGCAGAGAACTTTATTATTGTTAAAAAATATACTAACATTTTTGTTATAAACTGCTTGTAAAAAGAAATAAAAGAATTCTTATAAAAGATTAAATATCAAAATAGCATCGAAATTTTAGTTCTTCTATTGAAGAATCGAACTGACTGGCGGAGACTACTCAACGCGGTCATGGACAACTCACGTTTGTAATGGCCAACTAAGTAAGTAAGTAAGTATTGACGAATAGCTGGCGATTCATAAACTTATGGAATAATCTAGATTTTATTCCATTATTAAAATGATTTATAAATTATTAAAAATAAAATGATTTGTTAAAGTATATTTTGATTAAGATGGCTCGAATAGAAATTAGTTATTTAATAGTAAATTTCTAGCAAGTAATAGTTTAGTGAAAAAAATTTAAAAGTGGGGGGATGACTAAACACAACGGTGTTAAATCTGGCACTTATTGATAAGCACATAAAATATTATCCCAAAGGTGTTTGATTAAGCGTAACATAATTGATTTATATTTTAGTTAAAAAACCACGTTTCCCTTTGATTGCAAAATCTAAGTGCAAATTGCGTTCAAAACAAACAAAAAGATTTATTGTCAATTAAAGAAGTTACTTTTTCCAACCCTAAACATTCAAGCAGGTGCATCCCTAGGGAGCATAGTTGGTTTTTTACTGTATTTACTCTATACTCTTGACAGAGTACCAAGAGAAGAAGTATCGCCTTCCGTAAGCACTAATATTTAAATGGAGATATGCTCAGTTACATACCATATGTACATTTAAAAAATTGCTTTAAAACAATTGCAAATTTTGTTGCCTTAGCTTAAGGAATGGTACTTTTTCGGACAAATTATAATAATAAAAGAAAGGGATAAAGAATTTATTACGCTATTAATTTGAGCTTAGTCCAAATAAATTTTTTAACAATTTTAATATTTTATCAGTAATATCTTCAGTTCAAATAATTTTATTAATAATTTTTTTATTTGATTAATAAAATTTTGATAAAGGACTGCGTTGAGAGCACGTTTAATATCCCAACAGGTTATAGAGGCATCGATACCAGAAGAGTCACAATGGCAACGATGCTTTGTTGATGCTTTTCTGATGCTTCAATAAATTCCTCAGCTGAAAGGAATCAATGTGCGAAATTTATTGATTTATGCTGTATTTCATTATTTGTATATAATAATAATTTAATTACTATTTTTAAATAAATATAATACTTATATATAAAAATAAAATAAAACATTTCTAAACTAAGAATTCCTTTCATTTAAATTTCGTTGCTAAATTTTATATCATATTAAAATTCAAGATTGCAATATTACAAATGTCTAATCAATTTTTTTTTTCAGAAAAAAGAAAGAATAGTATTAAAATTTAACAATTAAAAAAAAAAAAATAGAATAAATTCAATTATTTGTCTTAATTTTTTATTGATGAAAATTCAAAGCAAATTAAAAAAAACATACAAGTCAAGTACGGCTTTGGGTCAATTGACTAATGAACGCTAACTCTGAGTTTTAAATTTGGCAGGGCATGAGTTCAACCCTTCGTACTTGCATTCTTAAAAAAAAACAAAAATAGTTTATGAATAATTAAATATAAGAAATAATTCCAAGACCACTGCTGTTGGGTATTTAGCAATACTCGCAACAGCTGTCTGAACAGTCAAAAATTCCATTAATTAAAATAATATAAAATAAATTCACTGTAGTTCACTGCTTTTCGAAACCTCTCTATTAATTAGTTAATTATTTTTATTTTATCAATACAATAATAGAAAAATTGTGTTTTATTGAGTTTGGAAAAATTTCTTAAGGAATCTATTGAGACAAGGCATAAGATTTTTTGTCTGACTTGTATAAGGAATTATTTAAACTTTTTTAGTCATGAAATTTATGGTAGATTTGTATCGAAGTATGTAAAAGCAATTCTTATTAATTATAGATTTTTTTATTGCATTATAAACAGTAAAACTAATTAATTAGTTTATTAAACTAAGTAACTAATTTTCAAATTAACATATTCATGCCCTTTTTTTATTTTTTTATTATATTTAAACAAAGTGTAGATTTTAAATTAACAACAATTCGTCATATTGACTAATAAGAGGTTTTTTAATTAATATTACAAGTAATGTTACTTATCTAAGGTGAGCACATAGATCTGAGCTAGTCAGGAGATGAATCATCTCAAAAGGTTATTAGGTCATATTCATGCCCTATGACAAGAATTCTATTTCCAAAAGAACTTTAATTTTATTCTTCTGAAGAACTGTTTTGATCTTTCAAATACCGTAAATACTGACCAACATAATCAACAGTGTCCGGATACATATATTGGTTTAATTGTCGATATAATACTATAGCGATACTATACTATACTATATATGACTGTCAGGAATCGAACCCTATAAAATTTGAATCATAGTCTCGCGTATTACCAAAACACACAAAGTCAAAGTGCACTTATTTTGTTTAATTTAATTTATTTAAACGAAAACTTCATTCGTTAACAACAATTGCACTTGCTGCGACATTCTTCGATATAACAAATTTACTTTATTATCATAAAACATGTTTTTAAACTTTGTAAATTTTTTTACTAAATTGATATTCAATTGACTTCAATGCTTTGTAACAGCACTAAAAAATGTGTTAAGCTAACTTTCTAAAAATATATAAATAAAATAAAAATTTTCTTGAAAGATGAATAAGTGTAGAACAACATTTGATACATTTTGAGATTGATTTGTTTTCGTTAAATCGTCTTTTAATTTCCTTTTGGAAGGTTATATATTAGATTAGATTATGGTGTGATACACCATGGTCTTAAGTATTGGTTGAAAGTTATTGATTATATTTTTGACTCTACTGATAATTTTACATTGTTTACTATTATCTGTTAGTGATGGTTTTTAATAATAGCGCTTTCGATTGGTAAATCTTTATTCAATCTAGATTTGCTCTAGATCATTTAAATTTGGTTGCCCAATTAAACATTTTTAGGATAATCCAAAATTTTGTACTCTGGCAAAAAATCTAGAGTGTTATAAATTAATCTAGAGTGTTACGCATTTCGCTCGAGATTTACCAAAATTGCACTAAAAACAAATCTCGATCAAAAAAATTTTCCTATATTTACCAATCGACAACGCCATGGGATTATATATATTTGTCTTCGTAAAACTGAAGTTAACTTTTATCTTTGAAAATGTATTTCGATCATTTCGATATTCATTTATCAAACTTTTGTCTTATTTCAGGGGCTTTATTTCCTAGAGCCGGCAATAGTGAAATTAATGAAAAAGCATTTAAATACGCAGTTCATCGAATAAATAATGATAAGGAAATTTTGCCCAATACAATATTGAAATATGATATTAACAACATAACCACAAAGCAATCATTCAATGCTTATCAGAAAGGTAATTTGTTTTTAATTTTATATTTTATAATAAATAAAATTTTTAATAATTTAACTTTAAACTGCTATATATAAGTTTAAAAACCAAACATTTATTTTAAAACAGATTAGTTAATTACACAAAAAAGTATAATTCATATGAGAAAATGTCTTTTCTCAACAATTATATTCATAAAAACAAAAAGATATCCCCTTACAGATATTTTACAGAGATTGATATAGCCATTTTAAAAGTAACCTCCTAACCATCAAATGGACAAATATGTAATCGTAAATTTTTCGTTTTCTCCAAGCTCCGTCAGTACAGATATAATGAACGGGTGAAAAGTAATTTGAAACTAATAAAATTCATTAAAATAGATGTTATTTTATACAGCCCGACAATTTACTCGACTCTTTTTGAAACAAAGAACGCTTATCTATTATATTTTTATTAAAGGTTACTCTAATATCACAGTGAACTATGCACTCAGTAAACTGGACATACAGGGACTGCTCTTTCAAGAGATACAGTATTGATTAAAATTGAAATCTCTAAATCTTTAAGAAGATATTTTGCAATTCACATAAATCATAATATACTGACTTGTTCATTGGTTTATTGGATATTCACAATTATATATACGAGTGCTGTCTTTTAAGTCTTCCTCCTAGAAATGACAACACAGTCGACAACACAGTGAAAATGATTTTATTGTTTTTCGAAATATTTTCCATGACAACCAATAGATTTTTGCAATCGATTGATGAATTTCTGAAATAGTTTTGCCAATCTGAAGTTAGCATCTTCTAAACGGACTGTTCAGGCGTACTAACACGCTCGCCATGCATTTTTTTCTTAATTTTTCGGAGTAAGAAGAAGTCGTTGGGTATCATGTCGGGTCTGTAAGGTGCATGGCGCGTTAATTCAACGTTTTGAGTGCTCAAAAACACTTCTGTTTGACCTGATGTGTTTCGACGGTTCGTTTTCCTAAATTCTCCAAAGACTTTTGCCAAAGAAATGGTTGTGTACCACTCCAAATTGACTGTTCTATGTTGTTTAAATCGTAAAGTTACGACATTTACGACCGATTTTTCTGAAAAAACATGGATTTGCTCCGTCCGCATGTAACTTTTAACGAGTTCTGTTCACTTTAAAAGACCCAAACAGTAGATTGCTATTCAGTTTCGGGCTCATAGGCATAGATTCATTTAACATTTACTTTAATAACTCATTATTTTCTCAAATACCATAATATAGAACATATAGAACAAAAACCACCCAAAGCATGTTAACCCATATAAAAATACTTGGTTGTTCTCGACTATGTTTCAAGTTCAGTTGACTCTGACATTTTGATTAGTCTTATTTTTAAACAAGTTCAGTTCATTCAGCCCATGAACAGCACCTAACAGATCATTTTTCAGGGTATATCGACTCTACAAACAGTTATTATTATTTTATTAGTCATTTATAAACTCTGGTAGTGTTTGTGAACCGATTAATAATTAACTGTTTCAGTGCAATACTAAAACCAGACTCTTTTGAAAGATATTCGATATCATGAGAGTGCTGTGGTTTAGAAGTTTTTTATTTTGAAAAATTGGTACCGCAGACACCTTTTTTTTATTGAAACTAGACAGCTGAAAGGAAAACTGAAAATGCTTTTACTGGATTTGTGAATTGCATATATGTTTGTAATTATTTGACTGCCAAAATGTCTCTTTAGGAAATTATATTTAAATAATTGCCAAAAATACGTGTTTTAATATACTACACATGGTATCACATCACATTAACATTATTTAAATATAGAAATGATTATATATTTTAAAAAATATTACATATATTTTTTTAAAATATTTTTTAGTGTGCGTTCAGATTGGATCTGAAGTACGAGCAATATTTGGACCATCAGATTCTTCACTTAGTCAACATGTACACTCTATTTGTGATGCACTCGATATACCACATTTAGAAACAAAAATCAGTGGTAATATACTCCATTCCATAAGCTCAATTAGCTTGCATCCAACACAACTTTTTTTAAACAAAGCAATATTGGAAGTCATACAATATCTCAACTGGACTAAAGTGGGCCTGCTTTTTGAAAGCGATTATGGTTAGTATGTCTTAACTAATAGGTGCATATATCTTTCATTACATTTAGAAAAGTAAAAACTTTAAAACTGAACATTATTTTTACTAAATTTTTTATAGAGACGTAGTACTTTAAAATGTTACTTCCAATTCTTTAATTGAAGTGTCTGTACGATATTGCTTCAATGATACTGCAAACTCATATCTTCAATTTATAAGCACTTTTATTTTAATATTATCTTAGAATAGAAAATATAAATATGAGAACAATTCGCTAATGTGACTCTGCAGAGTATGCAGATATGCCGTGAGGACAATAGCTTTAGTCCTGAAGGCACGCTTAAAAATGGATCAAAATATACAGCAATAATATACCAACAATTAAAGCATGAAGAATTGTAAAAGTTGAAAGAACTTTAAAGAACTGTCCTAACAATGCATTAATTTGTATGGTAATTAATTCACAATTAGAATCGATTTAGTTGGACACATATATATATCTTGACTTTGCTTTATACAAATTAACTAATATTCCTTTAATATTTCGAAAGAAAAAACTTGTTGCAATTAGGCAGTTTATATAATTCATTTGTTCGAATTTGTATAAATCCAAATCTTGACAAAAAGGATTTATGAAAGTTAAAAGTAGAATAATATCTTTAAAAAGTTATGATTCGTTTATTCATTTTGTTTATATATTTATTTATTGTTTATTTTGCAGTTTATATAATTCGAACATTTGTTCGAATTTGTATAAATCCAAATCTTGACAAAAAGGATTTATGAAAGTTAAAAGTAGAATAATATTTTTAAAAAGTTATGATTCGTTTGTTCATTTTGTATATAAAGTTATATATTTATTTGTTTTATAGGAGTTATTCAGCTCTCCGAGGTAATGCGGATTCATAATTTAGAAGTTCAAGTCAGAGAGGTTAACTTAAAAACCTACGCTTATGTTTTAAATGAATTTAAAAATAAAGAAGTACATAATCTAATTATTGATATTAACGGATCTAATATAGCAATACTACTTAAGAAGGTAAGCTAGTCATTTTAAAAAAAAATTTCAAAAAATTTTATTTTATACGAGACAAAATATAACAGTATGATAGGGAAAAATAATAGTCTGATAAGAAAGCTCGGTATCACTGCAAAGCTAATACGCTTTTGTAAAATAACATTGAGCCGAACAGAATAGTATTGAAATTTAACAATAAAAAATAAAAATATAATTAATTAGTTCAAATATTCTACAGCTGATTTATCGTTATAATATATATTATATAAAAAATTTCACAACAAATTAACAAAACTCCAGAAAAAAGTGCAAATATAAAAATCCAGTACGGATTTGGGTCAGTTGGCTAATGAACGCTGATTCTGTGCTTCAAATTTGACAGGGCACGATCCTTGGTTCAATCCTTGGTACTTGCAGTCTCAAAAAATTATTTACGAATAATTAAATACAAGAAATAATTTCAAGTACACTGATGATGGGTATTTGGCAATAATCGAAACAGCTGTATGATCAGCGAAAAATTCAATTAATTAAAATAATATAAAATGAATTTTTGTTGTTGTAGTTTACTACTGTTCGAAAAACCTCTATTACCTATAGCTCGGTTAAAGTAGACAATAGCTTCCGAAGTTGTTAAAGATTTTATCTATCCTATCGTCGACGTTACTAACAACAATGATGATGATCAGACGATCTATTGCCAATAGACTCTACTTTTGCCGCTACTGTTGACTTGAGTTTTTATCATTGAGGATATTAGTTCCATATTTAATCTATGCTTTTGCATGATACAGAAGTATTAACACAAAAACGTAATGATTAAGCAACACTAGGACTCATCGAAAGAAAAGTTTTCTGAAAGAAAAATTTAAAATTAAAGCCTTGTCCTGTCGACAGTAGCTCTTAATATTCATAAATCCAGACTAACTGAACCTGTATTATTTTATATTTCATCTTTATATCTTTATGAACTTTATAATACAATGTTTATTTAGATCTCCTGTGATTCTAAGTTTTCATGACATTCATGTCATTTGAGATAGATGATATTATAAACCTGGCTAGTATGTATATCTAATCAGTTTCAATGTTACTAATAAAAGCTAATATTTTTGCCAAACTTTTTTTTTGGATCTAAATAATGCATTTACAATAGTTTTTTCTCTTTTTTATAGATTTTACAAATGCAGATGATTGAATACAAGTACCATTATCTGTTTACTAGCTTTGACATTGAGACCTTTGATTTGGAAGATTTTAAACATAATTTTGTTAATATAACAGCATTTAGATTGGTTGATGTGGATGATGTAGGTGTCAAAGAAATATTAAAGGAAATGGAAATGTATGACAACAATCTAAAACCAAAGGACAAAGATAATTATCAGAAGTTGCGAACTATTAAGGTATTTTATATAATGCAAAATTTGTAATATAATAGATTAAATTATTAAATGTAGCAAGTATATCTTAAGATCTTCATTTAAATATGATTCATTACATTTAGATTTACTTTATTGTTGAATTTTGCAATATAATATATGTATATATGTTAGATTCTAGATGAAATAGTTACCATCTGATCTCAATTTTTTTTTAATTTTTCTGAAGAAATCACTTTAACTTTTAAATTATCTTTTACAATATGGCGTTGCAAATTAACTCACGTAATTATTTATTATATTGTATATTAAAGTATATATCCCCGCAATGAGAGTTAAATTTAATAAAGATATATTTTTATGTATTATATCATTGACATCATTAAATGTTAATGATAAATACCTTTTAAAAGAAATAAATAGTATTATATATTATTATGATCAAATACATTCCTAACATCATCCAAAAGTAATAGATAGTGTTTGTAGTAGTAGTAGGGTTTTATCACTTCTTATTCTAGTATTGATATCTTACAACAAGTTGTATCTCATATATACATATATATACTGAGATACATATATTTATCTCATATATATCTCAGCAAGTTGTTAAAAATTATACTCCGATTCATGTTGTAGGTATATACGTATAAATTATAGAGTATTTGGTTTACGATTTGAATACTTACTTCAAGATTTCATAACATCGAGCATTTGATGACTTTATAGAATTTATCACTTCTAAAATTCTATTATTGGTGTAATAGTGCTACGGACATAGCTACGAAAATAGTTGTATATGATAAAAAATCAATCAATATTTTTAATTCCCAGCCAGCATTTAACATCAGGGAAGAGTAAAAATATCATCGCGTGGTTAATGTAAACACACGTAGATAAGCTTGCGGTATAGTGTTTCAGCTGTAGTATTTGCAGCCTCAGCCGTGAGTCGCAAGAAACCATCATTCGCGAGTAATGCAAATTATTCGCGAAATCACCGCGAAGAATTATTTTAGAAGATTGTTGCTGGGAGCTTTTAATACTTTTAATATAAATTTGAGTTGATACTTACTTTTTGTATGTAACAAATAAATAATAAATAAAACGTTATTGAGAAAAAACGATTTTCAGTAAGAAAAACATTAGAGAATAAATTAAGTTTCAAAAAATTGCCAAATAATAATCTATGCGAGTAATAAGTTATCATTCTGTGGCGATTATTATCGTTTGGCGATCGTTTATGTTGGCTGGGTTGTGAGGTGTTGGTTTGTCCGGTTTTCTTCATAGTTTTCTATGCATTAATCGTTATTCATTATATACAGGAATATATGCAATACATTCATCCCTTCATCTTTAGTTCGATTATATTCCTAGGTTAATAGGTTGTTATGATTTCATCTATTAAAGTTTTTTTCAAAGCTAAGGCTAATAGCAATTTGTAATGATATAACATTTATGTAGAAATCGTTTAATTTTACCTCAGTAGTATTATCTTATATCTTGTAAAATTCGACCGCAAGCATTAATGGATGATATCTTCTCTTATAATCTACAGAGTGTCAGGCTTGTTTTTTTGAATAATTTAGCTTAACTTGTAGGAGAATCTAGTAACGCTTTGATATGCTTGCCGTTCAAATTGATTTCTTGCTCTATTATTTGTACCTTACTTACTGCCATTTTTTTTTAATTTTTTTTACTTTTTTAAAATATTTAACGAATGTTTTATGTGAATCTTACGGTGATATGTTGAAATTTTTATCTACTTGTATCACCGCACCGCTTAGGATTCACTTATCAACTTTTGCTTCTTTCCACCTGTTTGAAATACTTATCTGTAAAATCCAGATTTGGCGGTACAAAAGCAAAGCATCAAATACAAAAACTTTCTTAGCTCGTAACCTGGTTGCACTCAGCGGGAGGATATTGATCATATTCCGTAGATATGTATATCAAATATATGTAGGCTAAAAAGGAAACTATATTCCACACTTAAATTCGACTTAACTATTTAATAGCTATTCCAGTCATAGAGAGTCTACAGAATTTTTATTATTTTCTTCGAGATATTAATATTGCTAAGTTGTGAAAATCATATACCTTCTTAAGTCTCTAAATATAAATTTTTAGTATCCGTTATAAAAAATCTTTAAGAATCGTAGTTAATAGAAAAAACATTGTCAGTTATAGAATAGTTTTTTTAAATTCTTATTGCAGGCCTATTTTTCTACCCAAGTCTTAATATTTTTTCGATGATTCTTTTTTCGAACATGCAGTTGTGAGATACTGTAAGGGATACCATAAACTATGTGCTTACGTAGGTGCTTAGAACTTTCAACGATTCTTTTTACGGATCTAATCCATTTTAACTTACTAGAGAGTTTGCTAATATTTACTGATATACGCGTATATATTTTTGTGGAATCAGAAATGGGAAACCCAGACAATGTCATATTTATCATAGTACTGTACCTACATTTATTCAAACATGATTCTTGGTAAGCTATGCCTGATTATGGTTTAAGTCATAAGGTCTCAAACAAGTGCCTTTTAATTAGAAGTCACTGTAGTCATATGCAATATCTGTTCTCATAATTGTTTCCCTTTGCACAAATTCCCGCTGAGTAAACACGAGTTGCAAAACGATTTAACAAATCTTTGTGTTGAATACTAATTCATCCAGGAGGATTAACAAATTTTATTTTGCATTTTTCTACCTTTAAACAGTAACGCTTGACTTGTTCACACTATGCCCAAAATAAGGGTTGTAAATTGTATCTGCATTGTTGTTGTAACATATTGTCCTCATTTTATTAATAAATTACAAATTTTACTCAACAGTCTGAACCGGCAATGATTTACGACTCCGTCTACGTTTTCGCAATCGCACTGCAAACTTTGAAGCAATCGCAAAAAGTTCTCATACATAATGTCTCCTGTGAAGAAGGGAAACCTTGGAACGGAGGTCTAAGTCTTATAAATTATATCAACTCGGTAAATATGAACATAAGTAAGATATTTATAAATAAGTCCTAGTATTCTTTATGTTAAATTAAAAATAAATGATCCCACTTTATGAAAATAAATTTACACTTTATTTAAGCATAACTTTCCTCTGCGCATGACAGTTCTTTCATATTTAAAATTCTCTAATCTATACCAGTCGTAAATTTAAATTGTGCTTACAAGGCTCCATAAGCAACTTTCTTACCTATCACATCTATTAGAATACTATCTCCTTACCATAAATATTTTGCTCCTATGCACCATGAGGAATAATTACGATATAAAATATACATACATACATATGTCCGTTTAACCAAGCTAATTCCTTAGATTTCGATAAATATAATACATACACATATATTTATTTATAAAGCTGAAACATTTCTAAGAACAAACAAATTTTATCGGGTATTAAATCATTATATCGAGCTGCAGTAATATAGTCTATTTTATAATACAAACTGTCAACATTTATGAAGAAGAATTGCAAAATATTTTATACCAGATTTTTTGAAGATTACTCATCGATCTTACTGCAATAGAGATATTCACTCTGGCTTATAAACTTATTGCGAGATGCACGAAACGCACAGATTGCACGAGATTGCAATGAACATCAAAAAATACACGCACATATTTTCTTGCAATTGCTTGCAATCTTCCTATACCTAAACCATCCACGTATACTATATATGCCTGTAGCAAAACAAAAAAGGGAAATAAACTGCTGTTTTGACAATTGTTGCTTCTTATGTAGATGTGGTATGCTGCAAAAACAGCTGTTCAATTTTGATGTTGCAATTCTGCAATAGAGGTGTTCTCGCACTCTTGCAATTTTAGTATAGTATTCTTGCAATTCGTGTTCCTTAGAATGACTTTGGAAGACAGAGTGAATACCGCTAGTATATTTGCCGATTATTGTAAGATATAGGTCTTCAGGTAATAATGATCTTGCAATAAAATATTTGTATGTATCTTAAAAACCGCTGAACGAGTTACATGAAGAAGATCTTAGAGGCACTAGTCCTCATCTGTGAAAGGGAGAAATTAGCACAATGAAATAAGGCAAATCACTCATGTTTAGATTCGTTAAAATCTCACGAGTCTTTAAGGTGGTATTTAGTTTAGACCTTTCAAGTCAATTAGATGGTGTTCACGTCTTATATAGTTTTTCAAATTAATAACGCGGTATTTACGTCTCATATAGTTTTTCAGGTCAATAAACAAGCTTTTGTATATTTTATTTTTAAATGATACCAAAAAATCCAGGACATGACTGCAACCAATAAAACCATAAGCGCAGCATATAATATATGCAAATTCCAGCCCCTACTAAGACCTCTAATTCATATTTTTTATCCAAAAGATCAAACATTTTATAAACGTCATGCAAAACATGATAACCAATTTGATGCAAAGCACAATCAAAAATCAAAGTCTAATAGCTAAGTTCATAGTCATTAAAAACACAATCCACCATAACGAACTTCCAAAACACTTAAAAATATCTATAAGCTACTTCTATTTGAGAACATAGATTATATTCTTAGAAATCTTATATTCAGCTTGATTTGCAGTTAATACTTAACAATTTTTTAATGACCTCGATCATAAATTTATTGTTACCGGTGATTATAATGCGAAATACACTTTTGGGGCTTCAAGGTTGGTATCACCTTAAGCTTTGAATTATATGCAGAACTTAGTAATGTTCGTGATATGTTTCTTTTGGGATACCTACTGGGTGTCAGATAATCGAAAACCTTCACATTTAATCGACTTAAAGGTCATCGAAGGTTTCAAATGTAAAGATATAATTGCTAAACCTTCTTACGAATTATATTCTGATAACTCTTTTATTAACTAAAATATCTGATGAAACTTAGTAGCCCTTTAACAAAAAATATGTTAGTCTAACATTGGTAGCCTTATTGCCAACCAGAGGAAAATGGCAAAAATTTTGATCTTAGAGCGGAAAATAAAGACTAAGTAAAGCATCAAAAGACCTAAAAAGGACACTATGCAGTGATAATTATTCAAGGGCGTTGAACAATTAATATCGAGGGCATTGGCCAATGAAAGAAAATAATTTTTCCTTATGAAAGACAGTAAAAACACGTATACCATCAATCTAAAATCATCCACCGCTTAGAAAACATGACCAATCTTGGGCTATTAGTGACAAAGATAAAGGTTGCATTTTAACAGAATACCTTAAAATCGGCTTTTAATCTAATACCAAAGCAATAGATTTCCTACTTAAAATTGGATATAATCGTTGAATATCCAATTGAACTTTTTCAGCATACTTGATGATTGCAAAGTCAAGAAAGGACTTAATTCTGCCGTCATCATGTAGATCTCTAAGTCTTGGGCCTCAATTAAATAAAATTTTTAGAAAAATGTTGCTGTCGAATATTATACCTATAATAACCCGAAGACATATTATAACTTATCTCCAATTTTTTGTAAGAATAGATTATACAACTATTGGGATTGCCAAAGATTAGATTTAAATTTGCTAAAGAAATTTTCATTGCGTTTCAAGACAAAAAAGTATGTCTCTACTGTATTCTTAGACGTGGTTTATGAGGGCCTAATACATAATAGAAAACAAAGTGCACATAAACTTTTCTTCCAATATATAGCAACTAGAAAATTGTAGTTGAAACGCATTTCTTTTAATCTAAGAGAAATTTATATAAAGACTAAAACTCCTTAAAGAATCTTACCCGCAACATTTCTCTACTTAATCCATACATCTTGTTCTATCGCATTAAACTATGAAGCTCGGTATGGTGCTCTAATACCAACAACATACAGAAAGTTCAAAATGCATTACTTAGTTAAATTACCGGTGTTCTATGATATCTTTAAATGGAACATATCCACAACGGTCTTGGAAAAGTTACAGAAGTTGTAGCTGAATACTGTCAAAAATACAAAGCAAAATTATATCGGCATCGCAATACAAAAGCGAAATAGGTGTGTCAAGGTCTAATGATTTTCAGATTAAATCGAAAAACTTATACTAGCTTAATGTGACGACAGAGCAAACATTCATAATTTTGATTAAATCACGAAAACTGCATAATACAAATTGTACTATTACTTCCTAAAAATACAGATACAATTTTAAATAAATAAATTAAAATAATGATGTGATAATTTCTAACAACTTGCATCCATAATTTGTTAAAGTATGTGGACCCACAGGTCAGACACAGGCGTAGATTGCAGTTCTATTAAAAACTGTAGATCCAACTTATAGACTAATTCTGAGGTTTAGTAATTCACTACTCTGAGGTTTTCCAATTATTAATCTGCAGTCTATGATCGTGATATTCAAAATTTTATATTATTTATAGATTGGTGATATCGATCTTTTTATTTTAAACGTAGTAATACACCTATGCCGTTTATAAATCTAGAGTAAGTTTATCAATCGAGATTGCACTTTTAGTGCATTTTAGTGCTTAATTATATAATTATAATTATTAATTATGGTAATTTTGGGTAATCTAATTACAAAATTAATCTTTATTGCACAGCTCTGGTTGCAAAATACTTGCTAAATTGGACTTAAGTGGCCTTTAGACATCAACGCGCGTTGACAAACACACGAAGTCTTCTCTCTCCATTACACATTAAATTTACCAACAATTTTTTAAACACGCCTCCAGCAAACAATGCAAAATTTGTTCACTCATCAGTATTAAAGCAATCGCTGAAGTGTCAACAGCGGCTGCTATGCGTAATTTCCTTACGAAAAATGATGTTTTACATTTAATTTATAATTTTAATTTATATATTTTTATATTTATTTTTATGATTTCAATTTATATATTTATTTTTATATATATTATATTTTATATAATTTAATTTTTTTTTTTGGTATTTTTTAATAACAAATTTTCCGTAGGTGCACAATGCAATTAATATTTAAAACAAAATTTTTATTGTAATTTAATGTTTGGTTATTTTTTTTTAGCCCAAGGTTATTAATATTTTAATTCTTCTTAATAAAATGTTTTGGAAATTAAAAAATTTTACCTAGGTAGAAAATACAAATATTTAAAATTAAATTCATTCATATTTGCAAAGCATCGCATCCTAACGACAAATCATGCGTGCATTTAAACGATGTTTACGCTTCCATTTCTCAAAATAAATAAAATTTTGCATGCCGACCAAATCCGACTGTATATGCAAAAACACGAGCATGTTTGAAGAAATATCAAAATGTTTTGATTTTCGTCAACACATTTCTTAAAATTTCAAATGTTACTATTACACAAACAAATTTCGCATTTCACAAAGTAGGAGAAAAGTAGGAGAAAAAAATTCTCTTGTGAGAGCGATTTTTTAGTATATTTGTTGTTTTATCTTGGGCGTGTTTTAAAAATTGTTAAAAAATTGTTTGTGTAATGGCAAGCGCGCGTTGACAACGAACGTTGCTGTCTAATGGGCCCTTTATGATTCTCATTTAGTAAAAACAAATTTGTAAATATGTATATGTCTTCCTATTGCAGTAAAAAGCATAAAGATTTTAATATTGATATTGATTTGAGTTAGTGCTAATTCTAATTTACGCATTATTCCTAATGGTGATGTTAACAGTTAAGTTTCTTTTTTTTATTAATGTAGTAACTGCTTGATAAATGGACTCCAAAATCGTTTTTTTGATTTATACATACATATATAATATTAATATTTATTAATACATTATATTAACAAATAAAAAAATTTTAATTTGGGTTTTTTTTTGTTTTTTTTTTTTGTTAAGGTTGAATGGCGAGGTTTATCAGGACCAATTCAGTTTGAGGAGGGCCATCGAATTCAGTTTAAATTAGATCTAATAAAACTTAAACAGCATTCCTTCGTTAAAGTGGGGGAGTGGTCACCACAAAAACTCCTAAACATAACAAATCCATCGCTTTTCTTCGAAGCAGGTTCTATGAATGTAACATTAGTTGTTATCACTATTTTGGTAAGTTTTTCGACATTAATTTGCGTAAATTATAAGAACAATATTTTGGCAAAATATATGAAGAAGTATGCTCAATCATTCTTCCTGTACAGAAATAGAACCAAGTAGTGCTTTGTTTAAAATGTATTGGTTCTATGATCAATTTTTACATCCTTTATAAAAGTGTAAAATGGGTATTCAGGCATGTTAAGGTTTTTGTAACTGATTGCAGGAACCATTGTAAACCCCATTATGTATATATTTCTTGATCAGTTTAATGATCTAATTTCCTTTACTTTATTCGTATATCTGTTTTATCTCAAATTACTCTCCCATTTTTTCCAATTTGGTCAAAATTAAATCATTATATAGTAAAGCTGCATAATAAACTGAACAATCGAATTTGGGTTTTAGTAGTTTTTAATACAGATTTGTATATATATAGAATTAGATATAGCTGTTACCTTATATTCTCCACCATCTATAGTAAACCATTTGACTATGATAATATAAATGTACAATAATGAAATGGTTTGAAATGGCTTAAGTTGACCACATTCTTTTAATCCTAAAACGGCACAATTTCAAATATTATATTGTAATATCGATTTGCCTTTTAACAACTTCATTTGTTGTTTTTGTTATGTTCTCTAAAACATCTTTTTTTTTATTTTCCATGAAAGAGTCCACAAAATTGGAATTGAGTCAAGTCATCTAGCCAATCATACATTGCAAGCATAGATAATGATTCGTTTCCACTGACATGATGCTTTCTTTTATGCGCGAATTACAAGTCTTGCATAGACTTTAAAATGAATCAAGACATTTTCTAAGAAAAGGGCATTTTCGTATTATTTTAGAATAATGGCCAGATTTTATGTCTTATTAGATCTAATCAGATAAGTTTTTTTCAAAATCTGTGTATATCCTTTTTCTGTATTTATTATTCAATTTTCGAGTTAATATACCATATATATTTTTTTTTTAAAATTCATTAAAATAAATTTGATTTAACGTCAATACGACAGTAGCCACTAATTTTACTTTAATAGAAACATTCGCGATTAATGTATAACACTCGAGATTATTTTACAACACTCTAGATTTTTTGCCAGAGTGACAAGATTACACTGAAATTAACAGCAGTATAAGTAGATAGACAAAAAATGTGATTTGTATCCACATGTGCCTAATTTGTTGGTTTATATATTTAGCTGTCGTTTTGAAAAAATAAATAAAATCAAAATAATGACAAATTGACTGCAAATGCTTGTCAGCTGACGACGAAACTTCAGATGAAGATATATATATCAACTTAATACCATTAAACTTAAACTTAAAAAATTAGTTTGAGCATTTTAATTCAATTAGTTTATTTATTTATTAATCTAAATTAAATCCAGATTTACCAATCGAAAACGCTATTATTAAAAATCTTCACTAACAGATAACAGTAAACAATGTAAAATTATCAGTAGTATCAAAAATATAATCAATAACTTTCAACCAATACTTAAGACCATGGTGTATCACACCATAATCTAATCTAATATATAACCTTTCAAAAGGAAATTAAAAGACGATTTAAGGAAAACAAATCAATCTCAAAATGTATAAAATGTTATTGTACGCTTATTCATCTTTTAAGAAAATTTTTATTTTATTTATATATTTTTAGAAAATAACTTAATACGTTTTTAGTGCTGTTACAAAGCATTGAAGTCAATTGAATATCAAATTAGTAAAAAAATTTACAAAGTTTAAAAACATGTTTTATGATAATAAAGTAAATTTGCTATATCGAAGAAGTGCAATTGTTGTTAACGAATGAAGTTTTCGTTTAAATAAATTAAATTAAACAAAATAAGTGCACTTTGACTTTGTATGTTTTGGTAATACGCGAGACTATGATTCAAATTTTATAGGGTTCGATTCCTGACAGTCATATATAACTCGCTATAGTATTATATCGACAATTAAACCAATATATGTATCCGGACACTGTTGATTATGTTGGACATTTGACGGTATTTGAAAGATCAAAACAGTTCTTCAGAAGAATAAAATTAAAGTTCTTTTGGAAATAGAGTTCTTGTCATAGGGCATGAATATGACCTAATAACCTTCCTGACTAGCTCAGATCTATGTGCTCAGCTTAGATAAGTAACATTACTTGTAATATTAATTAAAAAATCTCTTATTAGTCAATGTGACAAATTGTTGTTAATTTAAACTCTACACTTTGTTTAAATATAATAAAAAAAATAAAAAAAGGGCTTGAATGTATTAATTTGAAAATTAGTTACTTAGTTTGATAAACTAATTAATTAGTTTTACTGTTTATAATGCACATCTAAATACATATAGAATAATAGTATATAATCTGATCCATAGTCGTACTTGACTTGTATGTTCGAACTTGGAACTTTTCTCCGTAATACGTTCCCAGATTAGGTTCTATGCATAAGAAAAAAATAAACGCATGCAATAAATTATGCCTCTACAAAAGAAAAGTATTGAAATTGAACAATGAAAAATAAAAATATAATTAATTAATTCAAATATTCTACAGCTGGTTTATGATTTCTTTCTAACATAAACACAAAAAGTGAATTTGTTAATAAAACTTTCACAGTCAATTAAAAAAACTCCAGAAAAATGTGCGAACATAAAAGTCAAGTACGGCTTTGGGTCCGTTGGTTAAAGAGCGTTGACTCTGAGCTTCAAATTTGGCAGGACACGAGTTCGATTCCTGGCACGAATAATTACGTATAATTAAATACAAGAATTATTTCAAAGACCACTGATGATGAGTATTTAGCAATACTCGAAACAGCTGTGTTATCAGCCAAAAATTAAAGTAATAAAAATAATATATTAAAAGAATTTATGTTGTTGTGGTTCACTACTTTTCGTAATCTCTTTATTAAGTTCATTAAAATTTTATGTACAATTAACAATATATATTTAAGCAAATATATTATGCTATGACTTTTAATGTTTTTTTCTTTAGGAAACTCCCTATGTTATGATGCACTATGGTAAAAATTTTACAGGAAATGAGAGATTTTATGGATTTTGTGTGGATATTTTAAAACAAATATCGCGTCATGTTGGGTTTGATTATATCTTAGACTTAGTACCTGATCGCAAATATGGAGCAAAAGATCCAAATACTGGGGAATGGAATGGCATAGTTTGGCAATTAATGAAATATGTAAGCGAAAGCGAATATATAAGATTCACATACAAAGGGTTCTTAACGCTTTTAATCTGACATCAGTATGACATTTGAATTTACTAAAAAAAAAATTTGTGAAGTTAAAACTTCGTTTACAATAATACAAAACTATCATATGTTTAAGAAAAAAAAATGTTTCTATTTGTTATAAATTGAAGACGAATAAAAACTCATAAAAAAGTTTTGAAAACTGTTATGCCAAATAATATATCAGAGGGCTAACAAAATTTTACTTAGTTGGCTAAAAAAAAATTGAAAAACCCAATTTTAATTTCCTAACTCTTTTATTCATCAATTTTGATTTTTTACCCTTATTTGTATTCATATCATATTATTCATATTCATACATTTATTTGTATTCAGATCTGAAAATTGGAGTCTCTTCCAAATTCACTGTATTAGTTGTCTCCTCATTATTGTCGAAGACGCCTCCTCCAGGTCCAGAGAATATGGTGCGTAACGAATATATTTAACCCCTGAGACAACAAGAAAGTTACACGTTTTTTAAGTAGTGTGAACTGGCGCATCATTGTTGTGCGTCTGTTCAATCTTTGCAGAAATAACACCTACAATCTTTCCTCATGTGCTTTTAATGCTGACTTCTATTGATTGACTTTAGCGGATATATTAGCACCTTCTGCGACCTATATAATCGACTGCTGCTTTATTTTTGGGTTATACTTTTAGACCCAGCTTCATTATCGGTTACAAGTTAATCAAAGATGATGAAACCTTCTTTTTCAAATTAAAAAAAAAATTGAGCGAGGATGGAAAAACCGAAGCAAGCCAAAGTTGATTTCAAAAATTCTAAAACAGCCACAATTTGCATAATTTAAAAATGAAGATCGAAAAATTTAGGATGGATGAAAACGCAGATAAAGAATTTTCATTTTAAAATCTGAAAAGTCTACATTTGGATTTCGGACGTCTAAGTTAAAACAACTGTTAGTACATTAATCAGAAAAACCAAAGTGTTTCAAAGGGCTGAAAACAAATAATAATGTATTATTTGGAAACCCAATAAGAATTGGAAGCTTCAAATTTGAAGATTTGAAAGAAAGTGATTGAATTAAATTGCTCGTTGCTGACAGAAAACTTCTTGCAAACAAGGAGCTGATCCAGTTAGTAACCCAACCATTACTTGATACGGAGCTGCAGTTTACTATATCAAGGGAGGTAACAACAAAAACAATGACGAAAGTTTATTTCGAGAAGTGAATCAATATTTTTCTTCAAAATGTTCCCAACAAAAAATGCATCAATAAATTATCACGAGTACTAAATCTAGCCAGTAGCTGTTATAGAAAGGAACAGAAAGAAGGACAAAACAGACAAAGTTGGACATATATCTGAAGTAAAATTAAAATTTATGAAGACAAAAATATTTTATCGGATTTAAACAGTTTTAATAAACAAAACCCTTTATACATTAATTTTTAAAAAATTAAAACTGATTTGGTTGAAATTGTTTTCGTTAAAGGGTTTTTCAATTTACAGCGAAAATCGGTATAGGTATGAGTGTATTTGCAACCAAAAAGATGAAATTCTGTCTTACAAATAAAAGTCAGAATGTTTTTGGCTAAAAACTTTCTGATTTCAGTCAGGAACAGGATCTTATAATCACCCTCTCCCAGGCAGAGATGACGTCCCATAATGTCGAACAGACCCATTTTACAGAAAGATAGCTTAACATTAATTTTTATGAATTTTGAATCGATTTTCATGATTTTCATTCATTCATTATAAAAACTATTCGAAATTTATAATTTTAAAAACGAGCATAATAAACTTCTGCACAATTTGTTTTTTTTAGGTAAGTAGAACTGTACTATGTTACTATACGAAATTTGGGTGCAACCTATTAAACAGTGTCGGTACGCTCAAGTTCACGGCTTTTTATTCTCTCTTTAATGAAATGTTCCTTTAACATCAATCGTGTGGCGACGCATTTCATTAAATATATTAGTCTTAATGTTATAAATAGACCTAAATGATATGTCCACCGCTTGAATCACTTCTCAAAACTCTTACAAAGATTTTCGACAACAATTGTATTATATCTAGAACTTCGTCATTCTTAGCCTTTGATGTTCAGATAGAATGATATAAATTAAATATGTCATCTCCATCTTCCTTAAATACTATGTAGGCTTCATATGCTTGTGTTTTTGACATCACAGGAGATTTTTTGTTTGAAATACGAAGGTACACTTATTATTTAACTCATTATTCAAAATGGGGCATAGCAAAATACTTCAGAGTATGAATACAAAGAACAAATTATGGAAACATATGAGGGGTATTCACTCTCTCTTGTAAACTCATTGCAGGGAGCACGAAATGTAAGAATGCTATACAAAAACTGCAAGACTGCGAGAACACCTCTGTTGCAGAATTGCATCATCAAAATAAATCAGTTGTTTTTGCAGCCGCATCACATTGAGCAAAGAAAAATAAAAGTATAACAATGCCGCGAACAAGTGAAATACAAACATGTATAGATTTGTTTATTGAAAATAGTGCTTTTAATATTTTGATTGAAGGTATTAACATGTTGTTAATGTAGTTTTCACTACTGTATAGTTTCTATTTGTTAGATGACGCAAATTACTGGGAAGTGATGGAGCAATTAAATGAAGACCTTTTGTTTACTTTAGTAAACCATCACGGAAATCACCAACCCGTACCAAAATCTATTCAATGGAGATCTACCATTCTTCAAGAATTTGATGAAGGCCGTTTTCGTCAGATGCTTAGAGTAAATTGGAACGAATTTTCCTTAATACTATCACTAATAAACACTAGCGCGGAGTTCACTAATTCACATTCCAACTTACCTTTCGCTACCAAATTCAAATTTAAAAATGAGAAGCAACAAATGTCAAAACAGCTGATTTCTGCCATTTCTGTTTTGTTGCAATCAAATATACATAGGTTTTAGTATTGGAAGATTGCACGCAATTGCACGAAATTTTGTGCGTGTATTTTGTTGTTGTTATTTGCATTCTCGTACAATCTTTGCATTTCGTGCACCTTGCAATGAGTTTGCAAGAGAGAGTGAATACCCCTATGGTACTTGCATAGTAATGTAGTATAATACTACCAAATTGCAAAAAAAATAAACATTGTGGTATAATGCTCGTAAATTATTAACTCCGAATTCTTTTTACACAGAGTACCCATATGTATGTGATAACATATATATTTATTGTATATTTTTTATTAAAATAATAACTGTTTTAAAAGAACATTATTTTCAGAAAGCGGATTTAGCTGTTGGGTCAATGACTATCACTTATGCACGGGAAAGTGTCATAGATTTTACAAAACCTTTTATGAATTTGGGAATAAGTATTTTATTTAAGGTAACTTAAGATCATTTATTTTTATGTTGAAGTTATATTAATATTTTATTTAATTATTTTTTATATAGATAAAAGATTTATAATATATCAATTTTTTTCACTTGAATTTACTATTGCAAGCTTACACTTGCTTTGCTTGTTATAATCTATATTTTGAAGCTAAGTTGAGCACTGACTGCGTGCGCAAGTTTAGTGCTTGCTTCGTAATCGATATGAATTTAATTTAGAAAGCAACTCATATGCAGTATTACATTTGCAACGTATGTTTTTACTTACTTAAAATATTCTGAAGGTTTTATATTATTCGAAAAAAAAAATTTGTGATAATCTAGAGTTAGTGAATATGGGTTTTGTTTCTTTTTTTTGCTTCTTATATTTTTTTTAAGAAATATTCCTTACTATTCTTAAGTTGATTAAAATTTTGGTGTATATTTGCTTTAAGCAGAAAAAAATTTTTGCAATAAACATTTAGAACTTCTAATAGTTATTATGAATATGATTAAAAATTTGTATTTTATTACGAGCATTTACCTATACCATAGATGTCCTAACCCAACCTAACGTTTCAAAAGAATTTATGTACTGCTACTACTAAAGTTTACTAAGTAACATCATCAAGTTTTTACATATACTTACAGGTGACATCAATTCCACCACCTCGTTTATTTTCTTTTATGAAACCATTGGCCTTTGATATATGGATCTATGTTTTGGCCTCTTATGTTATCGTATCGCTAACAATTTATGTTGTTTCTAAGTTTTCACCTTTCGAGTGGCACAATTCAAAACACTGTAACCTGAACACCGATTTGCTATATAGTCAATTCACAATAGGAAATAGTTTTTGGTTTACTGTTGGCACACTAATGCAACAGGGATCAGATATAAATCCAAAGGCTTATTCAACGCGTATCGTTAGTTCAATATGGTGGTTTTTTACTCTTATTATTATCTCATCATACACAGCAAACCTAGCAGCATTTTTAACTGTTGAACGAATGACGACACCAATTGAAAATGCGGAAGATTTAGCCAGTCAAACAGAGATTTCATACGGCACCTTAGAAAGCGGTTCTACTATGACATTTTTTCGCGATTCAATGATGGAAACATACCAAAAAATGTGGCGCAATATGGATAATAAAAAACCATCCTCTTTTACTAGCACTTACGAAGAAGGGATTAAACGTGTAATTGAAGGTAATTATGCATTTCTTATGGAATCAACTATGCTCGACTATATTGTTCAGAGAGATTGTAATCTAACGCAAATTGGTGGATTATTAGATACAAAAGGTAATTAAGTACTTTAGATGCATTAATTATTTATTGAACATACCTATATATACACATATATATGTATATACACGTAATATATATATACATACTAGTAGATGACCCGGCGAACTCTGTTCCGCCTTAAAGGCAATAAATAAGCAGTTTTTTTTTAATTGGAAAAAATACAAAAAAAAAAAATACCTACATTAATCATTCATAATTTATTTGTGTATTTTAGTACACATCGCAAATTATCTATTTGTTGACCTCTGTTGTTCGCTCGACCTTCAGTCCTTAAATTTGCAGTATTTCGTATTCTTCTTGCATTACGGCTTTGTCGGGAAAGATTCGATCGTCTTGGTCGCGGCATTATTAAAAAACTAAAAACTCAAATTTTCAACCATACCATACATTAAAATTGTTAATTATTTATTTTGTTGAGTTTGCAACAACCAGGTAGTTTTATTGATTAAAAACGATATTTATTGCAACACAAACTTATATTGATCTAATACAACTTTTAAAAACACATTAACTAAGTTATATTTCTATCTGTTAAATTTTAATAAAATATTTTAATAAAGTATTAGTATTGCTGTTAAGCTAGACTTACTTTGTATAGGGACAAAGAAGCTTTATTAAATTTTAGAGGAATTTTTAGAATAACATAGCATAGCTTCTTTGTAAAAGCACCAGAATGGTCGCTTTACATATAGTAAGTAAAAAATATGCATTACAAAATGTCTCTACAAAAAGAGTAGCTTTGAAAAGAAATAAAGAATTAGCAAACCCAAAAAGTTAAACTTTCAATTCGTTGAACTTGTGTTTCCAAAATAAAGCTGTAGTTTTTAAGCTCGTTCTAATTTAAAGCACGGCAAGTGCTTTGGTTGTTGTCACTAATTAAATAAAAATAAGTGACAATAAAACCTGGAACTTGAGCATTGAAAGTTTGTGCAGCCTTGACTTCTTGTGGATAACACGATTAGTCATCGCTTCTAATTTGACAGGCACGAGTTCTAAGCCTGGCATTTGCAGTCTAAACAAATTATATTAAACTAATTAAATAAAATTCGATTATTTCTAAAGACCACTGATGAAGAGTACTTGGCAATACTCGAAACAGCGTTGTATGGTCAGCCGAACTTCAATAAAATTAAAAATAAATTTTTGTGTTTGTACTTTATTTCTTTCTTTGCTATTCGAAAATTCCAATAAAATATTTTCTTATATCAAAAATTTGATAATTTCAAAACCTACTTTGTCGTGAACGGGATAAACAGGTATCCTATGTCCTTCTCCTGGCCTTAAACTACCTCCCTGCCAATTTTCAGCTAAATCGGTTCAGCCTATATCCTTCTCCTGGCCTTAAACTACCTCCCTGCCAATTTTCAGCTAAATCGGTTCAGCCGTTCTTGAGTTATAAGTGGTGTAACAAAAACACATCTTTCTTTTATATATATAGAAGATTAATTTAAAT